CACACACACACACACACACACACACATGTTCCTTACTGACTCTCAAGTAGTTATGATTCCTGTGGTCAAAGGAAATAATGAGGAGTAGGGCCTGAGCCAGATAACACTGTAAATGAAGTAGGTTTGAACAAGGAAATACAGCTCACCCTGGTGATAAGATGAAATAATAATAATGCAGATGTCAGCTCAGGTAACCATCACAAAACATCAGACCCAAGGGGATTAAAAAAGACATATATCTCACAATTTTGAAAGCTGCTGAGTCCAAGATCAAGGCAATGGAAGGTCTTGGGAGGCCTAGTGTCCCGATTTTCTGGTGTGTCCTCATACCTCATGTAACTGCATCCTCATGTGGTCACAAGAGCTACCTCTGATCCTTCCACCTTGTAAACACTCCTTCATGGGAGCTCCACATTCCCCACCTAATTTAAGCATAATTACTTTTCAAGCCTCTTCTCTCTTTTTTTGTACCATCTTGTCCTGGGTTAATATTTTAATGTGCAATTTTCAGAGGAATACAAGCATGCTGTCCACAGAAGACTCTGGATAGATTGAGTATAAATCAGGTCAAAAGGAAAACAAATGAAAAATGTTCACAGGGGTACTCTGTGTTAAATAGTTTCCCAGTCACACAACAGTAAGGGGGTTCCATAGCCTTTTTTAAGAGTCCAGGTCTCAGGTAAAGCACAGCCTTGTCACAGGGAATCTGAAGAATTCACTCTGAGCCCTGATTTTACCACTGACTTCTGTAAGCTCCTCAGCACAAAAGTGGGCGAGAAGTCTAAAGAGCATTGGTAAGTGTACACATCAATATTGGGAGCCTCTGCAGATGGCAAGGGGACTCTGCGAAGGCAAAGGTGCCCAGTGAGGCAGGTTAAAGTCACAAGCAGGAGGCTGGGGAGACAACAAAGAAAACTCATGTCACAAAGAGGGGAAGGAAGAGGTCAGCAGGCATAGCTGGTGACTGGGGAGGCCTTCAGTATCTTACAGGAAGCAGCAAGGTCTGTATCGGACTTCTCCTTCCTCTGCAGCCAATCAGAATGGGATCCTGGTGACTCCCACACATCTTGATGTATCAGATCTTGAGAAATTAGTTTAAAGGTTTTCATAAGATCTTTGTCTTTTCCTCCTGCCACAGTGTTTCTTCCTCAGCCATTCTGGTCAAGGCCTGAGGTCTTCAAGTTGGAACAATTTACAGTGTGGCAACCTAGTCTGCTCTGGTGAGATCATAGCTTGCCATGAAGATTTTTCTCATCCTCACACTCTTGGGTATAGCAGGTGAGTTTCAAGTTGGTTTATGCCTAGAGTGAAATCCAGAGCAGTGAACCAGTGGTTGCAAGGTGGAGTAACCACCCCATGGCTTGTGAGATAGAGTGCTAAATGGGGAATCACTTTAAAGATAAAATTGGCTGCTAAAGGAAATAAAAAAGACCTTTATTTCACATATTTTCCTGTCAATATACTCTCTGGGTCCTTGTGAAGTCTGGAAGCATTTTGAGTGTCCTGCCCACAAGGCTTTACAGAGACATCCCTAGGGGCTCCTCAGTGGACACTTGAGTGCAAGATTTTCCCCACTCAGCCACCATTCCTCTTCCCATACAAGATATTAGGAAATTTGGATCCAGGAAGAGAGGTGAGCTAATTAGAGAGTATATAAATTTGAATTTCTATGCTCTTCCACTATCAAGGTCAAAAGGTATTTCATTTATGCCCCAATTATTGACAAAAGTTAATGTTAAGAATCAGTACAGGACTGATCCAGACCCCTGAACATGGATATCAATGAGGAGGCCTCTGCACTCCAGGAGGCCACTGGGAGGGGATTATTATTTTTCCCTGGTGTAAGAAGGGACTTTGAGAGCCCATCCCACGTGAAGGGATGCACTCTTGCCCTGGACACATGGGGAAGGGCCCAGGCCCAGCCCAGGTGGATGTGGTGGACTTTGCAGAGCCCTTGTTGAGGGCCCTACCCTGCCTGGGGGGTAGAGGGTGGATGGGGTGGGGGATAGGTCGGAGGTGGGGGAAGAGGGATTAGGGTGAGGGGAGGGAGAGGGAGAAGGGTTCGACTTGTGAAACAAGCTTGTTCCTAATTTGAACTAATAAAAAAAAGAACTAATATTTAAAGTACTCATCGATTTTGTTCATTTTCCTATTATACTATGCTGTCAGAATTTCTGATCAGCATCAGATGAGTCCATGTGTTAGTATTAGATAACTTTGCTATAATTCCATCTCAACAAAAAAGTTGTTAGTTTCCCAACATGTATAGTTTGTATGACACATTGTTTCGTATGAATTTTTTAAATGTCAAAAATAAAAGCCTTGATATCTTTGAAAAATGTTGGTTAGAGAAAACTACCCCCAACCAACTCCAGTTTACTAAACTTTCTGTTTTTGTTTCCTGATTTCCCAGAAGCCATTTTAGGAGAATATCAAGACACAGATGAAGTCTTGCCAGATGATTTTACCATTCCTTACATGGCCTATTTGCAATCCAGGCCAGAGCCCTGTGTGGGGACTCTCATTGACCCTCAGTGGGTGATCACTGCCGCTCATTGTCCCTTACCGTAAGTGGCTCCTCAGTCATGGGAGCTGGGAGGCATCCACGCTATGGGAGTGGGTCTGGGAAGCCACCATCCACGCTTTTCATGGAATTATATGATCCAAGGAGAATGAGTCTTCTTCCACTTTTATCCACTTCAGTACAGAAATCAATTGGAAGTCTTAGAAAACTTATTTCAAATATTCATCTCTAACTGTTCACCAGTCATTTATTAAAACTGTTTAGTATAAACCATTGAGGGGACAAGACAGAGGTAAGTTTTCTTCGCAGGGCTTACATTCGGGTACATTAAGTAATCCATAGCAAAGAGAAGTGATCAAGGATAAAGAAAAAAAACAGGACGGCAGGGTGTGGGTTGTGGGAACACTGTATTAGGTGTATACAGAGGTCAACTGAGGCCTCTCTAAAGATAGGAGGCCAGCAGGAAAAAAAAAGTTGGCTAAACGAATAAAGCCTAGGAACATGCCTGGACAAGGAAACAACGTCAGTTGTATCTGAGGTAACAGAGTCATGAGGAGGCAGGGTTGACTGAGTGTGTGGAGTAAGGTAAGTGGTCACAGAATGAAGTTGAAGACAGAGATCACATCCTGCAGGCAAAACAAGAGGAAACAGAGATGCTCTGTGTAAAACAAAGCATCTCTTGAAAATGTACTTTTTCAATCACCTTATTGCAGTGAAATCACAGATAAAATTATCACACAGATTAACAGTCACTCAAGCAAACACTGCCCAATCCTAAACTCCACATGTCTCAATGAACTTCTTCTAAACATTTAGAATGGTCATGCTAAGCCAGGGAGCTTCACTTAGGACTTTAGGATTTCATTGTTCATTACATTTTTATGCACTTACAAGAAAAAAAGTCATGACAGAATTAGAAGGAGGGAAAAAAGCAGCTTTATAACTCTTTGACAACTCCTGTCACTTCCCATCTCATCTTCCACTGCTACTCTTTCTTCTTCTTCTTTCTAAATGTTATTCTATAACCAGGTATGTATGTGGTTACAACACACATCTATGCAATGCAAGCGAGGATCCCATATGAGAAAGAACATTTTTTTTCTGACAATCTCAAGATATTTTATTGGATGTCAAGAATCCATTGAGGGGATGGAGGGGATGGGGAGACAGCTCAGCAGTTAACAGCACTTGCAGCTCTCGAATGAGGCCTCCATTTGAGTCCATGGTGCTACACATCATTCTCACCACCACAGAGCTCGCAACCATCTGTAACTCAGAGTTCCAGGGGGATTTGATGTCCTCCTCTGACCTCCGCAAACACTTTCACATATGTGAAAGTGCCTGGTGACCCAAGGGCATGGTCAGAGTGAAGTAACAAGGGTTTAAGTAGTTGGGAGGCGCGCAAGTGGGCCCCGTTTCTCTCTTCGGCCTGGCTGGCTTAGCATACTAGGAGGCATCTTGTGCAAACCTGGTCACTGGCTCCCCGTCGGGGAATTGAACCCCAGTCTCCCGTATATGTAGTGTGAATACACGCACGCAGGCAAAACATTCATACACCATCAAATAAAAGAAAATATCTTAAATTTTTTAGAAAAATAGAAAGGAGTGTCTTGAATGAGGGAGTCTTGCCCAGAGCTGCAGGTCCATTCCAAACTCATCACTCTTACCTATCTGTTGTTCAATATAAGTTTGATTCAACAGAGACTGGAGGCTTGATCTCCACATTAGGATAGATAAACAGGAAACAAAGGCAGTTCATATGATGCTGGGGCTCACAATCAGACTTTCCATCACTACTGTAAGCTGCTTTTGGAAGGAAATATCTCTTGGTATGTCGCATGACTAGCTTCCTTGTGACAGGGGCATCTGAATTTGCCTAGAGACTATAGCAGGAAATGATGACTTGTTATCTCTACAAAACTACTCATGGAAATTTTAGAATCTTGGATCAATGTACAAAATGCATGGAAAAAAATAATTATATACCCTTGAGAAGAGCACCAGATAGGCTAAGAATGTCAGAAATAGTGGGTACAGGTTCAAAACCTGCTTGAGTAAGTATAGAGTATACAAAGAGCTCTGGAACCACCAAATGTGGTGACTTCTCTACTGGCAGCTAGTTCAGGTTTTTCAAATCTTAGAGGAGGAGCTATAGAGTATGCTGTAGATATAGGATCCCATGTTGGTCATTCCATATTCATATTGATTACATAACAATCCTGTAAATTGTTACTTTATACACAATTCTTTAATTAAGGTGACTTCTGACATTATGTGACTGTTTTCTCTTCCATCTCTCTGCCTTTTCTTTTTCCCCAAGAGATAAAATCCGACTGGGAGTTCATCAACCCAACATCAAAAATGAGAGAGAGCAGACATACAGTTATGCACTGACTGTAGTCCATCCTAATTTTGATGCAAATCTCCGGAAAAATGACCTGATGCTGATTAAACTCTCTTACCCTGCTTCTGTAAATATGTATGTGGGAACTATAGCCATAGCTATGGAAGCCATGGCATTTAATGAAACATGCTTTATACCAACATGGATCTGGAATAGCTACAAGAACTGTGAGTGTTTGACTGTTTTCTTCATCTTGGGGAGGTAGGGGCTGGGAAAAGATGTGGTTGACTATACTTGATAGAAAGAGGAAATATAAATTTGTTAATCCTATAGTGATTACCATCAAGCTTCTTGCTCCCAGGAGGTAACAGACGAACTCATTAGATTGATATAGGGAAGCTACTCTGACAGCAACAGATAGGGTGGGCAGTAATTGTTCTAACTCTAAAAATTTGAGAACCGGGGCTAGCAAATCGAATACAAACGAATTAGAAAGAACTGGAAGTCCTTATTGATAAAGATGGTATTGAGGAGAGAAGGTGGGCTTCTTAGGGAGAATTGCTGAAAGTCTACCTTGAAATTCTTAGGAGAGAGGTTAGAAAAAGCAAAGCAAATCTTTTGTGATAGGTGAAAGGATGAAACATGCTCTCAATTCCCTACCACAGAGCATGCAGGCTGTGTCTAGGAGCAGAGGCCACACTCTTTCCATTGGACCCTGAATGGCAGATGTTTGAAGGGGCAATCTACACTCTTGCCAATGCTGGTTCCTTACAGAGTATAATTTTCATTAGCTTGCATCATAAGTGAAAGTTCCTCACTTGTGGGTGTACACTTGGCTGGTTCATAGACTAGTTGATTATCCCAACATGCTTGTAGTTATATCTCTAGATTGACACTCCTCGTGGGAAAATAATCACAGTCCATAGTATAAGCATACACCCCTCTGCCTTACGGACCCAACTTGGAAAGAATAGAGTGAGCTGGTATCTGTAAGAGCTTCTCTTCAAATGTGGCTTTCTCATGTCCTTGCTGGCTGTACAGTGACTGCTTGTATGTTATGCTTGTTTTAGGTTTACTCAAAGTTGCTTAGTCAGATTTAAACACAGCTTCTGGTGTCTACACCAGAAAATAAAATGAAGATTTTCCAAATAAATATATTTTTCACAACACACATAAACTATAAAAGCTTTGGTTTTTGCAGTATTTTGAAACTGTACTTTAGAAACAAACTGACTATGAATCTAAGTGTCTAAGCTTTCTAAAAAAAAAACAAACAAAATGTACATTTCATGTGAGTTTTGCCATTGACTTTTTAAGCTTTATTTGAAGTAATTCCAACACACTTTACAAAACTAATTAGGTACCATTCATTTTGTTTTGTTTTGTTTTGTTTTGTTTTGAGACAAGGTTTCTCTGTAGCTTTGGAGACTGTCCTGAAATTCTGTAGTCCAGGCTGCCCTTGAACTCACAGAGATCCTCCTAACTCTACCAGCTGGGTGCTGGGATTAAAGGCATGTGCCACCACCACCTGACTTTAGGTACCATTAGAAATAAAGCAAACTACACTACATGAAGAGTTTATTTTGTCAGAGCTGTATATTAAAATAATCATACAGACTATCTCTAAAAGACTTCTACAAAGGTCCCAATATCTATAAGGAAATCTTTATTTTAAGTAACTTAAGTTGCTTTCACATAGCTTGTTAAGTGAATTTTTCCTAAAAATAAAATACATAAAACTGAGCATGACTTCTTTCTCCCCCTCTTCTGACTTAACATGTTTTGATCTATTCTACAGAGTATTCATTATCTTGCTAGATATGCTATCAGCCTTTTATATACCACAATGCCTAGCTTGATAAATTGTTGCTTTTTTTTCCTTACTACTCTTTAATAGAGATTAAAAACTTAGTCCCTTGGTTAAAGTCCCTGTACCCAGACATTACAATATAGTAGCAACTTCTTTGATGGAAATGAGCAGTATGAATGTGTATGTGCCTTTCTATATAGATACACATACATGGAAATAACCATTTACAAATGATCACTTTCTAGCCAAGAGCAACTTATACAATAGTGTTTCAGAGAATGAAGGAACACAGGTAATAGCATCCCCACAAAATTCAATTTGCAGCTTAAAGGTTCTTAATGACAGTATTCTACCAAACTTTTCTATGTTCACATGTGTTTACTTACACAAGTCGTTACCACAGTGTGACAATATCCACTGCAGTAACATGCGAAGCAGGATTATAACCTAGGAGGAAAAGACTAAAATATAGCTTAAATAGGTAGTGAGCTCTACCATTTAGACTTGTGTAAGTACACGTGATCTAGTGATACAATTCTCAGAACACATACAACATTAAGTGAAGCATGACTGGACTTGGGGGCTTGCAAGATGGCTTTTCAGGTAAAGGCACTTGCCACCAAAACTGATGGTCTGCGTTCCATCCTCAGAGCCTAAATGGTGGAGGCAAAGAGCTGAGTCCCACAAATTGTCTTTTGACCTTCACAGGCTCACCATGGTATAAGCACATACTTACACATGTACATACATACATACATACATACATACATACATACATACATACACACACAGTGAATAAATAATAAAGCTTAAAATAGTAATTTTACATATTTTTCTTATTAGATAAAATATAAAGATGGTAAGGCAGATGTCCCACAAAAGGTGGTAGTAAGGATTCCAGTCTTTGTTTCTTTTGCTTTGTGGACATCCATAATCTCCATACAATTGTTTCAAAAATTTAGATTACGTTCAGTAGACAAAACTACACATCTAGTGATGGGAAGATGAGAAACTTGGGGATCTATTTCTCCAATGTGTAAATCCTGCCTGAGGAACTCTAGGAAGGATGGAAGCATCTATAGCTACCTGCATTGAATATTCTCGGGAATTAATTGATTCACAAACTAAGGACTTGTCCCAAGGTCACTCATCAAAAGATCTCTGTGTGTTATCTGTCTTTTCTTTCCCACAGTCAGTGATCCCGACATGCTGGCATGGATAAATCAGTACTCGCTTTCCCCGAGCGACTGCTGGAACATTCTCCATCGACAGAGACAAGAAACAAGGTTGAATATCATGTGCTTAGGACGTTTGGCTAATGTTGCAACTTCAGTTAAGGTATCTTTCCTTAGCCCATGCAAGAAGAAAGTGCAGAACCTGTTAGAAGAGAGAGGCATGGTTAGGAGATCAAACCAGGCATATCAAAAAGACCTCCCACAAAGTGAAGGGCAGAAAGCTGAAGTCCCTCTCCCTGCTGCTCACTCAGCATCACACTTCATTCCTCTCCCCATCTTAAAAGTGGAAGAGATCTTTTAGTCCCAGCACTCGGGAGGCAGAGGCAGGCGGATCTCTGTGAGTTTGAGACCAGCCTGGTCTACAAGAGCTAGTTCCAGGAGGGGCTCCAAAGCCACAGAGAAAATCTGTCTCGGAAAAGAAAAATGTGGAAGAGATCTAGGGTAGACCATTTCTCCTCTCTCCTCCTGTTTGCACTCAGGTTAGATAAAATTTGAACTACAAAGGGAGAATATAGAGCAGATGGAAGCAAAAGTTGTCACCTCTCCCACAGAAGGAACACACTCCCCCAGATGAGTTTGCTACATGCCATGTCTTGATCCATGACAGCAAAGTGACATTGACTTCTTTTTATCATCTCTGTCAGGAGGTCTCTGCTGCCCCAGCCATCTGCAATGGGAGGCTCCATGGAATATTGTCCTGGGGAAAAGCAGGCATAATGAAGGGAAGTCAAGGCTTCTTCACTGAAATCCATCCTTATGGGAGATGGATCTTGAAAACAATGCATGCCCACTGAGAAGCTGTACCACTCCATGCAAAAATAATGCAGTCTCTCCAAAACACCCAATAAAATGACACCGGAAATTTAAGACTCCTGAGAGTCTTAAATTAACAATCTTTTTTTTTGTTTTGTTTTGTTTGGTAAATGGTCATGTTGTCAAACTGCATTCTAAATATGTTATGCCAATAGATTTGCACAGCTCTCAACCTTGGTCATAGAAACTTCTTTTTTCACTTAAATGAGGCATCTCTCTCTCTTTATCTCGCTCTCTTTTACACACACACACACACACACACACACACACACACAACACACACACACACACACACACACACACACACATTGAACAAAATCAAGCCAGTTAAGAATAAATGTCTTACAATGATAGTGATCTCATCAACAGATAATGAAAATGTGGTCCATTCCCATTAAATTCTCTTCAGCTGTGAAAAGGACAAGATGGATGTTGTGGTTTGAATAGGAATGGTCCACATAGGTTCTTAGACTTGAATGCTTGGTCAGCAGGGAGCGGAACTATTAGGAGGTGTGCCTTGTTGGAGAAAGTGTGTCACTGCTGGTTGGCTTTGGGATTTCAAAAGCTAAAGCCAGTCCTAGAGAGAGAGAGAGAGAGAGAGAGAGAGAGAGAGAGAGAGAGAGAGAGAGAGAGAGAGAAAGTCTTTCTACTGAACCAGATGCAAAACTCTCAGCTACCTCTCCAGCACCATGTCTACCTGTATACCACCATGCTTTCTGCCATAGCAATAATGGACTAAACCTCTGAAGCAGTAAGCCAGACCCAATTAAATGTTTTCTTTTATAAAAGTTTCTGTGGTCATGGTGTCTTTCCACAGCAATAGAACACTGACTAAGACAATGGAAACTACAGGTAAATGTATGGAATGTAAAGTATACTGGGTGGCATAACTCAAATCCAGAAAGACAAATGTTGCATATTCTCTTACTGGTGGCTGCTAACTCCAAATTTTCAGATTTGAGTATGCAACCTGGAGTAAACATAAGAAGTATAAAGGGACAATAAGTATGGAAATAAGAAGTTCTAAAGAGTGTGATAGTATGGAACTAGGGAAACATCTGGAGATCTACAAAGATGATACCAGCTAACAATCTAAGCAACAGTGGAGAGGCTACCTTAAATGCCCTTCCCTGATAATGAGATTGATGACTGCCTTATATGTCATCCTAGAGCCTTCATCCGGTAGCTGATGGAAACTGAGGCAGACACACACAGCTAAACACTGAACTGAACTCTGGAACCCTCTTGCAGAGAGAGGAGTGATGAGCAAAGGGGTCAAAGCCGGGCTGATGAGACCCACAGAAACAGCTGACCTGAACAAGGGGTTGCTCATGACCCCAGGTTGGGGGCTGAGAGGCCAGCATGGGACTGATCCAGACCCCCTGAACGTGGATGTCAGTGAGGAGGCCTCAGTAATATATGGGGCCTTGGGTAGTGGATCGGTATTTATTCATGGCACACGAATGGACTTTGGGAGCGCATTCCACATAGAGGGATAATCTCCCAGCCTGGACACATTGGGGAGGGCCTAGGCCCTGCTCCAAATGATGTGACAGACTTTGGAGATTCCCCCATGGAGGGCTTCAACCTCCGTGGGGAGTGGATGGGGGTGGGGTAGAGGTTTGGGAGGGTAGTGGAGGCTCGGGGAGGAGAGGAGGGAAAGGGAGCTGGGATTGACAGGTGAAGCAAGCTTGTTACTAATTTAAATTAAAAACAGACGATAGTAGGACATAAGTGTTATGAAGGGAAAGGAGGAAATGGAGGATACAGCTTATCAGAAGGAAGAGAGGATAACACAGAAGGAGGACGGAGAGTTAAATAACACTAAGTATGTTTGATAAAAAAACATAAGAAAAATTATTTTATAAGTTCACTAAAAATGCATATGTGTGTGTTTGTCTCTCTTTGTGTACATAGATAATTTAAAAGAAGTTATACCACATGAAGTGATATTGCTTCCCCCAAGAGTCATACACTAACAAAAGTCCCAGTGTCAGGCAAGGCAAATGCCTAAAAACATTATACACCCCTGACACAGGACTTGGAAGAATCAAGCTAGAACAAACCTATAAGCTTCTTCACTTAAGACTAGCACTCATAGTATCAGAAGAAGTGATAGGAGCTTCCAAAGGATAAAAGCAACGAACAGTCCTATCTACGTGTAAAGTTTAGGAACCACTATAATGACAAGCCCTCCAAGATATTCGCAATAGTGAAATGGTGGTGTTTATATCTTGGGAGTAACCAGTAGCTGTCAAGTGTAGGTCATCATGTTGATGAAACTATAGCTAGAGATTCTAACATTCCTAGGAGACCCAAACTCTGTCTCTTAGAATGTTTCTTCCCCATCTGAATCAATGCTTCCTGAGTCTTAGGTGTAGGAGTTGTAAGTATCCTTTGGAACTGGACTCCACATCTATACATTTTGTTTTGGTATGGTTTTCTGTACTGAAAAATATACATACAAGTAATATACAAACTGAGCAGGTTGGATCTGTGTTTTTAGGAATAGATAGATAAATGGATAGATAGATGATAAGTAGATAGATAGATTAGATAGATAGATAGATAGATAGATGGATAGATAGATGATAGGTAGATAGGTAGATAGATGGATGGATGGATGGATGGATGGGTGGGTGGGTGGGTGGGTGGACAAAAGAAAACAACAATTAGTTAAAAAGAGGCCATAAATGTAAAAATGAACAAAGAAAAGTATATGGGAAGGCTTGGAGAGAGAAAAGGGAAAGGGAAAGGGAGAATGATGTTATATCATAATATCAAAACATAAAAAAAATACTTTTTAAAAATTCAAAAAGAGCTGTTAAAATAACTTTCAATTCTTACTCTCACCCCTCTTAGTTTCTTCTGCCATCCTTCAAACTAGACAAACCTCAGTTAAAATATGGACAACAAGCACCTGCTTCCTAGATCTGCTTTCTTGTGACAGATTTTCTAAATTTGTTTTGATTTGTTTTGTAGGATCCTCCTATTAGTCCTTCTGTGTCGTTCTTCTTCTAAGCCCTGGCCCATCTTCACAGAGACTTCTACCCAATTTTTCCCAGTTTTCTTACTGCTTCCCACCCTTGTAGTCATAAAATTTCCCTGTAGAGTGTATCCCTTCCTCTCAGAGACACTATTTCTTGAGTCTCTGCCTCGCTTTACCCACCATATGGTGATATCAGACAGGGTAGTAAATCTTAATGCATGTCTCCCCTTTGTACTATGGCCTAGGAGATCGAAAGCTTCATCTCTATTCCCACTAAGTAACAAAAATCTAAAGTACCAGCACATGGTATAGATTTGTATTATTTTCTGTCACAGCATACAAGTCTTTAACACAGCGTTTTTGTGCCTCAGTTTTCCTAAGTTCACAGTTCACAGAAAAGAAAGCAATTATTCATTTAATCAAGCTCCCGGAAAAATTCATCTCCTGTGCTTACACTTCACAGGGCCCTGCTGGCAGAACACTGCTACAAGTTCTTACACTGTAGTGATTAGAAAAGTGGGCAACAGCTGGACTTCCTCACCATAGTTTCTTTGTCTCTCCCTCCATGCTCCCAATTTACTCAGATCTTGTCCCTTTCCCCTTCTCCAGGAACCATGTATGTCTCTCTTTGGGGGCTTCCATGTTTCCTAACTTCTCTGGAGGTGTGGATTGTAGGCTGGTGATCCTTTGCTCTATGTCTAATATCCACTTGGGAATGAGTACATACCATGCCTGTCTTTCTGTGACTGGGTTACTTCACTCAGGATGGTTTCTTCTAGTTCCATCCATTTGCCTGTGAATTTCAACATGTCATTGTTTTGTTTTGTTTTGTTTTTTTACCACTGAGTAATACTCCACTGGGTATATGTACCACATTTTCTTTATTCATTCTGCTATTGGGGGCATCTAGATTGCTTCCAGGTACTGGCTATTACAAATAATGCTGCTATGAACATAATTGAACAGATGTCCTTGTTGTATGAATGTGCATCCTTTGGGTATATGACCAAAAGTGGAATTGCTAGGTCTTGAAGTAGACAGATTCCCATTTTCCTGAGAAACCACCATACTGTTTTTCAAAGTGGCTGTACAAGTTTGTACTCCCATCAGCAGTGGTAAAGTGTTCCCATTTCTCCACATCCTCTCTAGCATAAAGCGTCAATGGTGGTATTTTCTTTTTATTTTAACCATTCTGACAGGTATAAGATGGTATCTCAGAGTTGTTTCGATTTGCATTTCTCTGATGACTAAGAATGTTGAGCATTTCCTTAAGTGCCTTTTAGCCATTTGAGATTGTTCTGTTGAGAATTCTCTATTTAGTTCTGGAGCCCATTTTTTTTATTGGATTATTTGGTGGTTTGGGGTCTTATATCTTGAGTTCTTTGTATATTTTGGAGATCAGCCCTCTTCCAGAGGTGAGGTTGGTGGGGATCGTTTCCCATTCTGCAGACCATTGTTTTGTCTTGTTGACTGTGTCCTTTGCCTTACAGAAGCTTCTGGTTTCAGGAGGCCCCATTTATTAATTGTTGATCTCAGCTGACACAACTCTTACAGCATGTTCTAAAGACTTGTACAAGAAAGGCTTCCCTGCCCTATTCCTCCTTACAGCTCCAGCTAATTCCTTAACAATTACCTTCCTACAGTTGATTTTAGTTTCACAAACATACCATATCATTGTTTCAGGGACTCACATCATTGCAGGATAGTGCCTGTAAGTAAGTGTGTGTGTGTGTGTGTGTGTGTGTGTGTGTGTGTGTGTGTGTGTGTGTTTTACTACCTATCACTTTTTCCAGCTTGGGAGCTCCTTGAAGGTAGAAATGGAAACTTTGGAAGTATGAATCCCCAAAAAATAAAACATTTTCCAGTTCTGGTGAAGTCTATGTGGTTTAAAATGATGACTGCTTGTTTAAAAATATGTGAATCAATAATATCACGATGGCCCAAGTATTACAAAGAGACTTTCAGTACCCTCTTAAGGCTTTTAGTACCAGAACACAGATAAATACCAGTGTCACAAAATGTCACAGCATCATAGAGACAGGAGGGGTCTGTATCATGAACACAGCTCAGAGAGCAGCCTGCCTGCACAAATCAAAGAACAGGGACCTATGGAGACATTGTGAACATCTCTCTTGAACTAAGTAACTTCTTCAAAGAAAGACAAAACTCAGCTCTAGACAGCGTGAGAGACCAAGTTCAGAATAAGTTGTTCCTTCCCCCAACACCACTCTGTACTCAGATGGGAATACCAACCCTGCCATGGAAATAATTCACCCATTTATTTTCTCACCTAGATCTCTCTCTTGTTTATCACTTGTACTTCATCTTCTCTCTTCTTCATTATTTACAGAAACACTAAACTCCATCTCAGAAAAAGGCTTTCAACATCATGATGAAGATTGTCTTCTTTTATATTCTTTCAACCCTGCTCGGTGAGTACCTGCATATCTGTCTCTGTTTCCCAAAGAGGAGTCCCTGGGAAGACATGGAAGACAGAAAAAATGTTGGAGGCATCTTTTCAGAGTTAGTGCATGACAGATTCTCTCTCTCAGCACTGCCACTGTTCCTACCCAGTTTAGTTACTCTCTGTGACAACACCTGCCTTCTCCACTTCAAGTTGATTGCTTATGTACTTTGGGGGAAGCATGGACATTGACACACCTACATGAGATCCATTCCACATTAGTGATTGTGAACTGGGGGTATGGGATGGGGGGATAATGGGATGGGAACTTGAGGGAGCAGGTTGGGTGGGCTGGGTGCTGGAGGCCCAGTGGGAGGTGGGACAGAAGGACAGAATTATGGAAGATACATCCTTGATAGGGAAGCAGTTTGGGGGTTAGGGAGAAACCTGGCTAGGGAAAACCCCAGGAATCCACAAGGATGACCCCAGTTAAGACTCCTAGCTATAGTGGAGAGGATTCCTGAACTGGGCATCTACTATAATCAGATTGGTAACTGCTCCGTCATCAGAGATTCTCTAGGCAGTAACTGATGGAAGCAGATGCAGAGATCCACAGGCCAGCACTGGGCTGAGCTCCGGGAATTTTGCTGAAGAAAGGGAAGCGGGATTGTACAAACCAGGGAGTTCATTATGGGAGAAGCCACAGGGGCTGCTGACCTTGGCTCATGAAAGCTCATGAACTCTGAACCAACAGTTGGGAAGCATCCATGGGACCAACCTAGGCCCTCTCTCTTCCTAAGAGAATTGACATTTCAAATTGAGAAATGTTTATTTACACTAAAATGATAAACAATATCTCATTTTAAAGTAGGTGTTTCTATCCCTTGTCATTTTCTTCTAAATAGAGTAAGTCGATTAAAAATTTGATTCCCCATTTAAGTATGATTGAAGAGAAGGGTGCAATAACTTGATTTTTGCTTTGTTATTGCTTTGGACTTTTTATTCAGAGGTTTCCTTGGTGATTAATGAAAATATCCTATCCCTCTCTTTCCAGGTGCCTTTGCCTATAATCCAGACCACATAGCTGGTGGCACCCCCCCCTACTTGGTCTACCTGAAATCTGACTACTTGCCCTGCACTGGGGTCCTGATCCATCCTCTTTGGGTGCTCACAGCTGCACACTGCAATTTACCGTGAGTGATAAGAACTTCAGACCATTTTGCTGCATGAGTTCTCAGGTTAGATATAGACTCAGCCACCTGCATATGACTCTCAGTGAATGCGACATAGACGATCTTCAGGGAATGTTCATTGGGGAAGGCTAATGATTGCATAAACATTGATAAAGTATTTTTATGAACATCCCTATCATTCTAGGAAGCTTCGGGTGATTCTTGGCCTTACAAATCCATCAGACAACACTGAAAAGAATGTGGAAGTGACTGGCTATGAGAAAATGATCCACCATCCGCGCTTCTCAATCTCTTCTATCTCATATGACCTCATGTTAATCAAACTAAAGAGAACAATTCAACCCAACAACTATATACGAATGGTGGAACTGCCACAGCACATCATCCCTGAGGATACCATGTGTTCTGTCTCTACGTGGAGCTACAATCTATGTGACACCAGTGAGTTCATGGCCCTAAGTGATGACTTATGACTTTGCCGGTGTTCTCCCACAACTGGACTATCCTCTGAGCTTCCATTCTCTGCCATAGGATTTTCTTCAAGCTTTGGCACTCCTTTTCCTCCATCTCATTGGACGATTTTCAAGCCTTTTCTCAGCTATGCCTTTCTATCTTATAAATTAATATTTACTTATAAAGATGAAAGAAATAGTTTTAATGAGAATATATTTCTATGTCTAGGCCTAACTTGATCTGAAATATAACTTCCTTTTGTCTCAGAGCTTCAATCTTCTTCCCTCTAAAATGAAATACAACACTCTAGCAAGAGTTTTCATACCATTTAAAGCAAAGAATGAGCTCACACCCTTGAAAGCTGAAACACATAAATATCAAATATAAGATAAATCCATAATATTGTGGTAATTCAGACAGAGCATTACTAGGCAGGCTTGAGAAGAAATACCTGAAGACAAGGGAGAAGGAAGGGGGAAAAGCTGATCACTAGATGCCTGGTGTTTGATTGTAGAGTAGAGTAACTGTAATAAATAATAATATAGCGTGTACTTCAAAACACAAAATTCCTAGAACAATAAATTTTGAATATCAGCACCAGAAAATGACAATCAGAGTTACACTCACTGTGTATAAAAAAGAAAAATGACTTCCCCACAAAAAGCATGTACCTTATTTTGGTCAAACTCCTGAAGTAAACACTTCTCAAATAACCCTCAAAAGAAACATGGACTGTGAAAGTTTTATTGTACCTGAAAACAAAGCAAAGGAGCTCAATGTTTACTTTGAAAATTAGAGTCATTTTCAAATAAATATTTAGCAGTAACACATATTCAAATTAAGACACAAAAAACTCAAAATATAGAATTTTTACCCAAGAATCTCTAAGCAGAGCATCTCTAGAGAGAGGATATTATAGTCATTATTCTCATTCTACACCAGATTAGAAATAGGTTCTTTCTGTTGTTGTTTGGGGGGTTGTTTGTTTGTTTGTTTGTTTCGGGAGGTTGCTCTGTTTTGTTCTTGTTTTATTATTTATTTATTTATTTTACATCCTAACTGAAGTTTCCCTATCCCTCTCTTCCCAGTCCCTCCTCCAACTCCCCCTCTGCCTCTCTTCCCCTACCCTCCCTCTCCCTTAGAAACCCTTTCTTTGTCTTTTTTCCTTTTTTGTTTTGTTTTTGGAGACAGGGTTTCTCTGTGTAGCATTTGAGTCTGTCCTGGAACTCACTCTGTAGACCAGGCTGGCCTCGAACTCACAAAGTTCCACCCGACTTTGCCTCCTGAGTGCTGGGATTAAAAGCATGCTCCACCACCTCCTGGCCTAGAAACCCTTTCTGATGGGTATGCATGATTAGCAATGCTTGTGAGTCTTTGATGTAAAAGAAAGAGCTTGAATTAGAAACCATAATACATGGTGTTAAATCCTACTGTACCACCTAGGCTGATTGGTTTTCCTTTCCTTTTACTAGTGTCTTGAGTAATATTTTTATTTATTATTGTTATGATTATTTCATAATTTACTTACCAGATAATTACTTTTACCACCTGACAGATAGGAAATTAGACTCTGCATTTCTAAGTTCCTTCGAGCTCTAAGGCTTCTATGACAAAAAAGAGTCTCCAAATGTTTAGATTTCCAGGCAAATGTTAAAGCAATTTGTTTCATTTTGTTGCAGCAATGTCTCACACATACAAACTACCCTCCTAAGGAGGAGGACACTTGCATTATGACAAGCTTTTAATTTGATAATTACCTGTAAGCTTAATGTCTAAATTTCTTGGTTCTCATTTGAACTCTTTTCCTGACAATAGAGCAAGTGTTGACAATAGAGGAAAGCAAGAGGAAGCTTTAGTACTTAGGAGAACTCCTGCCAAGTATGACTTCTCTCTTTCCTTTAGCCAAGGAACCTGACTCACTGCAGACTGTGAACATCTCTGTAATCTCCAAGACTGAGTGTCGTAATGGCTATAAAGCCTATGACATCAAAGAAAACATGATCTGTGTGGGCATTGTGCCGGGACGAAGGCTGCCCTGCAAGGTAATGTATTCTCAATGCCTTGTTTTCCTCATTCAATTTCTTGTCTTCGACCAGAAAGATGACCTGGTTTTCTCTTTCCTGGTAGGAAGTGTCAGCTGCCCCAGCAGTCTGCAATGGTGTACTGTATGGAATTCTGTCTTATGCAGATGGCTGTGTTCTCAGAGCTGATGTTGGCATCTATGCTAGCATTTTTCACTTCATGCCCTGGATTGAAGATACTATAGAAAATAATTGAGCTCCCACAACAGGAAGAACTGACGAAACATGTGCCCACATCCGACCTCACAATTAAACAAATGGGCTCACTGGGCTGTGATGAGCACTGCAGTTGCTTCATCTACACACTCAGAGACTTAGCAATCGCTCACCAAGCCCTTTCGCTCTCCCCATCACTAAAAATGGGGAACTCAAGACTTACCATTTCTCAATCTAGCTGATTATAGAATTATTGAAAGGGGGCCAATTCCCGATCATTTGGGAATACCAGACTCTACTGTTACCACAAAAGTAGACATTTTCAGAAAGTTAACACGTCATTTGGGAAAAGGTTGTCTCACAGTGAATTAGGTAATAGAGGAATCAATCAAAGTAAGCCCTTAAAGACGGGGACTGTGAGAGGCCCTGAATTAAATCCCATATCCACACCACTCTTTTTTAATTTAATTTAATTTAATTTACATCCTGACTACAATATCCCCTCCCCCTTCTCCTCCCACTCTGACCCCTTACTTCTCACCTTCAATGCACCCCTCCTCCATATATGCTCAGAAAGGGACAGGTCTCCCATGGGCATCAGCAAAGAATGGGTATCAAGCTGCAGTAGGATCAAGCACATCCTCTTGTATTCAGGATGGACAAAGTGACCCAGAGAGAGGAATAGGTTCCCAAGAGCCATGCAAAGCACCAACAACAGCCCCTGCCCCCATTGCCAGGAGACCCTCAAATAGACCAAGCTACACAATTGATACACATGTGCAAAGGGCTTAGGTAGGCCCCATGCAGGCTCCCTGGTTGTTGGTTCAGACTCTGTGAGTTCCCATGAGCCTAGTAATCGGTTTCTGGGTTTCTGTGGATCTTCCTGTGATGCCACCGACCCCCTCTGGCTGCTACAATCCCTCCTCCCTCTCCTCAGCAGGAGTCCCCAAGCTCAAGCTTGGCCTAACGACCACACATCTCTTTTTTTGTTTGTTTGTTTTGTTTTGTTTTTTCGAGACAGGGTTTCTCTGTGAAGTTCTGGGGCCCATCCTGGCACTCGCTCTGGAGACCAGGCTGGCCTCGAACTCACAGAGATCCGCCTGCCTCTGCCTCTGCCTCTGCCTCCCGAGTGCTGGGATTAAAGGCGCGCACCACCAACGCCCGGCGACTACACAACTCTTAATACCAGACTTGAATAAAGGTCACTCATTTGACAGCTTTTCATGGGGGAGTTTTCTTTGGCCAGTTGACTGAAGGTGTAAAGGCACAAGCAAAGACTCTGTAGCCACTACAAGTAGACCACTGATGACTTTCAGTACAGAAAACTCTGAGGCAAATCGCATCCTCTCAGGGGTTCTGAAACCTCCAAACTGCCTAAGCCTCACCTAAGAGTTCCTGGAACTAAAACTGTGTGTCTCAATTTCTAAATGCAAACATGAGAGCTTCACCACCATATGTTTTATAAAGCAAAATTTTAGTTATGGGAAAAAACAAGAAGAATTGATCTCGTGACATCTCACCACCCAAAAATGTTTTTCAGTGTAAGCAACCATGAGAACTTCAGCAGGACACACTGCTGCAGAGGCGTCTGAATTGCACAGGTGTGTGTGTCATCTGTCTGTCTTACCATAAGCTCTATGACTTCCTTTACTGGAGATCAATTTAGTGAGAAGGAAGGTAAAATGCCTACGTCATGAGGGCAAATCAAGAGTGGAAGTGACTAAGGGTGGAAAAATACAAATAGTCAGCATACTTCTCTGGTCCTATGTTTTACTGTGGTTTAAGATGAGACCGGTGACACTTGTGGGTTGTGAAAATGAATAAGACTGCTTACTGAAGTCATGCAGAATAGTATTAACATACCGAAGGCAAAACATACCCATTCTTTGCTCAGATCTCTCTCAAGGGCTGATTGGGAATACATGTGACCATTTCCTTGTATCTATTGTCTTAATTCACTTGGGATTATTAATTTTTAAATGGGACAGGAAACTTAAAAACTTTCAACTTATACAGATGTCTGGTAATGAAATTTTTGCTACATCCTCAAATGGCAGGATGCATAATGGTAAAATTAAAAAAGAGCATCCATTTAGTTCCTTGAAGCCCCTCTATAAGATCCTACTCACATCTGTGAAGATGGAGCCCACCTGTAACACCACCTCACTTCAGTGAGAGTCAACAAAAATCTTGGAGAAGACACAAATATTCAAATATAGCACTTGACCAGAGGAGAGATTATTTTAAACTACACAAAATCAGAATCACAGAGCCAATGAATATTCTGATATAATTGGGCAAAATATGCTCTGGCTTCATTTGACCCAGGATGATAGAAAGAGGACTCCTTGAATGTAAAAGAGGAGCTAAGAAAATTATAAAGCAAACAGTTTGGGGTTTTTGTTTTTTTTCTTTTTAAAATTTAAATTAGAAACAATCTCAATCCCAGTTCCCTTTCCCTCCCCTCCTCCCTTGCCCCCCACCAGCCCCCTATTCTAACCCCTTTTTAGAACCAGAAGCAGTGATACACATTTGTAATCACAGCTCTCTGAAAACTAAGTCAGGAGGATCACAAATTTGAGGATATATATATATATATATATATATATATATATATATA